GAGACTAATGGGACGCAACAGTCCAGGGACAAGTACTAGAAGGCAGGAGGAGACAGGAAAGCTGGTAATAGTGAACCCAAGGCTGAGAAGGGACAGTGTTGACATGTTGTGGGGTTGTTTAGCATTGTCATAAAACAGTATGTGTACTAACTGTTTAACAAGAAACTATTTGTTCTGTAAACCTTCATCTAAATTACAATTAAAAAGAAAAAAAAAAAAAGAATAAGCTAGACAAGACACCTCGTAATCTTTTGGGCCCATTTAAAAGTCTTTTCAAAATTTTCCTCCCACCAGTAATTCCACAACAAAAAGTTTATGTTAGAGGTGTTTGAAGTGGCTCTAATGCTCCTTTGTCTGCCTTTTCGCCTCTTCAGATTCACTTCTGGCTTCCAGTCCTGAAAATGATGAAGAATAAACAAATGGACATTGCAAGTGAAGACAACCCATGAGAGACCCCAAGTAGCTCCTCAGCCACACTACATCAGCAGTTCTTCTCAGGTTTATCGATAGTGGTCGCTATTCAAGTCCAACAATAGAGAACGATGTTACATGTCTATATCAGGGGTTTGAGTTTTCAGGGCCACCTTGCATCACTTGGTTATGTCTCTGTTCTGCTTTTCTTCCTGAGGCCAAGGGGCTTCCAGGTAACAGTTATGTGGTTGGTCATCCAAACAAGATGCATCATCTGGACTATATCAGAGGGCAACAGGGCAAGAGCTGGACCCTGTGGTAATGAGTCTCAGCATAGAATAACATTTAAAGGAAAAAGAAAACAATTCAAATATCTACTGCAGTCTCACAAGCAAATGCCAAGGGGGAACATACACATGTAATGCCAGCAAAAAACCCATTGTCATCAAGTCGATTCTGACTCATAGCGACCCTATAACTTATCTTTAAACTCTTCTGTTCCTTCTATGCTAAGTCAGTTAAAAATGAAGAAATGAACCTGCTTGACCAGTGGTTCCAAACCTGCACACAAGTCATAACTCCCTAAGGAGTTCTAAAAATTACTAGTGCCTGGTCTCACCCTCAGGGACTCTGACTTAGCTGTTCTTGGGTGGGACACAGGCATTGGCATTGTTCAAAGCTCCCCGGGGGATTGTAAACAGCAGCCGGGATTGAGAACCACCATTCCAGAGACTTTTACAGAATCACAGGTCTTTCAATTCAGGTCTTTGATGGTGATATTTCTCTAACAGAAGAAGCCTACATTAGAAATGGGTCTGAATCAGCATTTCCCAAAGTGTGTTCCTCAGACTACTAATCCCTTTAGATGTTCCATAGGGAGTTACATGGAGAACATTATGCAGTAAATTCTCACAAGCAGTCTTCCAACCTTGAAGATTCAGAAAGCATGTTGGCATAATTCAAAAACTAGGATAATTCCTATAATAAAGAAATCTCATTTAACCTTGTTTCACTCAGAATTTCCCAAAATTATTAAAAACGTAGAACAATTTTACACGTAATAACTATTGACATTATGTAGGACTGCTTCTACAGCTTGTAGTCTGGCAAATGCTAGTATAATTGGCATGAACTTCAAATGAAAAAGGATTTGAGAAGGTGAAGATGCATTTGTAATGTTGGCTTATTTAAATATCCTGGTGGCTTTATCCTTTGTTCTGTTTTCTGAACAAACAAATGCAGTTGTTAATAAACTGACACAATATGTGAATTTTTGTAGTTCTTTTGCATTTATTTCTCCTACAGAAAAGAGATTTACCCCACCTTAAGTAAGGCAAAGAAGCAATTGCTCAATTTTCAGAGGGAACTAGATGCTTTTGATCTTCTAAATTTCATTAATTAACTAACTTACTCATCTGGCTAACTAACATCACCAACATTCACAGCAAACATTTGAACACAGTCACATAGAAGGTGCTGGTGATACTCACTTTGGTCCCTGCCCTTCGGAGGCTTCCAATCTAGTCAAAGAGATAGACAGATGCTGAGACAAAAACACTACGGTATCAGTACCAGTTGCCATCAAGTCGACGCCAACTCATAGAAACTGCATGTGTGTCAGAGTAGAGCTGTGCTCCATAGGGCTTTCAGTGGCTGATTTTTCAGAAGTAGATAGGCAGACCTTTCTTCCAAGGTGCCTCTGGGTGGGTTGGAACCTCCAACCTTTTGGTTAATAGTTGAGGACTTGACCATTTACGCTACCTAGGACTCTGAGAGGTTAGTAAAGCGGTCTTAATTTTCTTGAAATCAAAACTACCATTCTGAAGCAGCATAATCTATGTTGTTTCCAATTACTTTTAACAGTTCACAGGACTTCTGGCGAGCGCCTTGCTGTCTGTCTGTTTGGCATGTTTGCGCTTAGTCTGAAATGCTCTTCCCTGTTGGAAGGAGACAGACTGGCCGGGTCATGCTGTCACAAAAGGCAATTTTCATCTTGAAAACAGAATGAAGACTTGCTCATTAAGGCCAACCTAACTTGGGACATAAAATACTTATTTAATTGTAGCTATCCACTTTAGATTTAAACAAATGGTTAGTTAAAGTTCTTGAGACATCTATTGTGAAAGGTGCCCTGTTAATCCTGTATAGGCAGAAAGATACTGCCTGAAGTAATTTAATTGAGCTTCTTTTCTCACCTCTAATTTTAATGGCTTATAAAAGTATATTGTATTATAGTCTAAGTCATTATTTCTCATCTCACTAATCCCAATTTGGTGGCTCTATTTTGTTAGTGTCATTCTGATATCCTTGTTGACTCTGCATTTGTCTATCAGTTTCTCTTTGACAGCGAGACATAGTAAATCTAAACACCTTCGTAGTAATGGTTTTATTGTTCTACTTGGGATGTTAAACATTGTTTTTCCTTTTCTTAGATTATGTGTATACTTCCATATATACTACCTTCTCTGTTAGGACCTAATCAATCACAATTATAATATGGGTATGTTGACGTCTTCACATGTCATATATTTTTGTCTTAATTCAGCCAAGAGAAAGGCATAAAATTTCAACCTAATGGAACAAGAACCAACTTTCTAACTCATAGTCAATAATACTAGTTCCCAAAAAGTAACAAAGACTATTGAGGTCAATTATTTTATTTAAATTATACTACAAAGAGAGAGAAAATGTTTTTAAAAATGAATGTGGATCAGATGTGGTTATTTATCTATAATTAAAAGCCTACTAATTATATAATATAACCCACACATAGCGGGGAGGAAAGATTTAAATGAATGGGTGGCTGAGATCCCCAAAATTCCAAGAGTACGAAGACTCTTTTTGTTTTATTCCATAGTGGTTGGAGTGACATTTTTAAAAAGGGAAGTCCCCAGATGGCACAAATTGTTCAGTACTCAACTACTAGCCAGAGAGTTGGTGGTTTGAAGCCACTCAGAGGTGCCTCAGAAGACAGGCCTGGTGATCTGCCTCTAAAAGGTCACAACCTTGAAAACCCTATGGAACAGTTCTACTCTGCACACATGGGGTTGCATGAGTCAGAACAGACTTGACAGCAGCTAACAACCACAACAGAAAGAAAGACCTGGTGATCTACTTCTGAGAATCAGCCAATGAAAACCTTATTTGATCACAGTGTTCCACAACCAATCATGGGGATAGTGCCAGACCGAGTAGCATTTGGTTCCATTGTACATGGGATCATCATGAGTTGGGGGCAACCTGATGGCAGTTAACAACAACAACAACAAATTTAGAAAAAAAATGGGTTCAAAATCCATCTTTGCCACCAACTAGCTAAATGACCTTGCAAATCACTTCACCTCTCAGAGCTCAATTTTCTCCTCTGTAAAGATAAAGTAGTTGGGTTAAAGACCCTGCAAAGAAGCTGCCATCTCTAAAGGCTACTTTTCTTTCTGATGCTGCAGTCTCTGTGAGATAATCACCAGTGAACTGTGCCCCAAGCCTCAGCATTTGATTTGTTTGTTCTTTTATGGTTGATCAATGAATCTTAAAGAACAATAGAAGCTCTCTGGCCATAAGTATGATTTATTTGATGAAAAGTAGAAAAGATAGCATTTGGTCAAAATAAATGTTTTCTCCACAGACACAAAGAAGCAATCAGAATAGTTATTAAATTCTAAATGTCACACATAATCTCTCATGGTTTAAAGTTGGGCTGTGATGTCAGTGACTGAAGACCTGGAAATGAAAGTCTTGTTTCTTCAAAGCAAGCAGTGTAATCACTCTAAATGTGATATATTAATTAGGGTGTGAAAGAAATCAATAAAAATTGTTTTCCAAAAAGGAAAACATTGTGAAAGTATTTTTTTTTATAATTTATTTTGTTTTTGTCGAGAATATACACAGAAGTACATACACCAACTCAACAATTTCTATATGTACAAATCAGTGACATTGATTACATTCTTTAAGTTGTACAACCATTCTCATCCTCCTTTTCCCGAGTTGTTCTTCCCCTGTTCACATAAACTCACTGCCCTTTAAGTTTTCTGTCTAATCTTTTGAGTTGCTGTTGTCAATTTGATCTCATATCTGAAAAGAGCACAATGCTCAAGGCAGACATTCTTTATTAGTTAAGCTAAACTATTGTTTGGTTTTAAGAAGACTTCAGGGGATGTTTTAGGTTTAAGGTTTAAAGATTATCTCAGGGCAATAGTTTCAAGCGTTCATCCAGCCATCATGGCTCCATAAAGTCTGAATTTCATGAGAATTGGAAATTCTGTTTTACATTTCCCTCCTTTTGATCAGGATTCTTCTATAGAATCTTTGATCAAACTGTTCAGTAGTGGTAGCCCAGCACCATCCAGTTCTTCTGGTCTCGTGGTAAAGTTGTTCATGGAGGCAATGGAAATATGCTTTTACTGCAGCAATAAGGGTGCTGTGTCTTGCAAGTATAAATGCTAATATATATGAGAACATATATATTACATTGTTCGAAAACAAATAATGCAATGAAAGAAAAAGTGTTGGGTTAGAAATTGGAAGAACTGGATTCTAATTCTCTCTCTGCTACCAAGTAGCTTAGCCAAGGCACTTCCCTCTCTTGACTCAATTCAGTCCTTCAGAGAAATACATCATGATAGCTATTATTTATTGAGCCCTTACTAGGTACCAGAAACTATGTTTTTTAGTATTATTTCATTTAATCCTCACCAAAACCTCATGAAGGAGCTTCTGGTGCTATTGCTGTTTTTATAGATAAGGAAACCAAGGCACAAAGAGGTTAAGACATTTGTCTACAGTATGTTCCAGAAGCTACTATACACAATGTTGCCTCTTAAAACACGGCTGTCATTTTCCAGTTCAGAGATCTGGATCCACACATCTTAGTGAGTTAATATCCCCCCACCAGCAATTGCAGCTCCCTCCTAATCTGATCCCAACCCATTTAGCCACATTATGCACCACTTTTCCCTTGCCTGAATCCTTCCATTTAGTCGAAACCCTCTTCCCACTTGGCCCCCTGAAGAGTCACTTGCATTCCCCTTTGCTCTCCTGAATCTCCTCATCTGCAAAGCACTCTCCATTCTCTCTCCCCACTCAATTCCTCTCCTCCCATTCTTCAATGTCCTGGCCAAGTCCTACCTCCTCAGGAAGCATGTGCAGTGAGAAAAGCATGGGGTGGAAGTTATGTGGATGCGGTCTTGTCCTGGTGCTGTCAAAACTCCATGTGAAAACTTGGAAACTTCATTTAATCTCTCTGGACCTCACTTTCTTCATCTGAAAATCAATAGTGTGGACTCAGTGAAAAATTTTCGAACTTTTTATTAATTCTTCTTCTTCTACGCAGGGGACCACTTTCTCTAATTCTTTGGAACACCAACTGACAACTCAGCAGAGGCAGGGTTGCCTTGCTTGAAGTAAAAGTAGATGACTGGAGCCATCCTTCCCTACTTCCTCTGCCATGGTAGGTAGCCCCTGAGGCCCCCGAGGGACCTGCAAAGCAAAGCAAAGCAAGAAGACAACAGACTAGAATATTTAGGTTTATTTCCATCTCTAAAGGCAAATGAACTAAATCTTCCCAGATGATCCTGACTTACAATAACAGCTCACTCCTCTGAATTCATAGCTCTTCATGTCATGTGGCTCTTACAACATGTTGCATATGGATAATTAATTATCTTGGCTTCCCAATTAGATTTTAAATTTCTCATTAGCAAGGATTATGTATTTTACTTCTTGTTAATCCACCACAGCAATTGGTACAGTTACAGGCCCTTGATAAATACACAGCATAGCACCTTCAATACATATTAAAAAAAAAAAACAACCCAAAACCAAACCCCTTGCTGTTGAGTCGATTCTGACCATAACAACCCTCTAGGACAAAGTAGAATAGCGCCCTAGGGTTTCCAAGGAACACCTGGTGGATTCGAAATGCCGACCTTTTTGGTTAGCAGCCGCAGCTCTTACCTACTACAACACCAGGGTTTCCTCAATAAATATACATCATAAAATCCTTAATAAATACATTGTGAGTGAATAAGTGAATGAATGGCCCAGGTGAGAACACTTTTCTAAGTCCAGTACATGCAGAGCACCAAGAGAATCAGACCATGAAGTGGCCACCCAAGGTCCTGCTAGTCCCTGATTGTGGGCAGCTGCTGCTGGGTGGTGGTAATTCCCTGGCATTTCTGGACTGCTATAGGGCTGCTATGAGTCAGAATCATCTCGACGGCAATGGGTTTTTCAATGGGGCCAGGGCAGAGTGGCTTTCCTTGGTTATAAAAAAAGCCCTCAGGTTGCAGCACAGTGAAGTGGTAAGACCCAGGGATCTGGGCAGCCCATAGTACCTGCGACACCTCCACTTCCTCGTTGGTGAAATGAGAAGAGGCTGTATCCCATGATCTCCGAGGTCTCTGCCGATCTAAAGTCCTGCCATTCTCATAAGGTGGTGGTGGTGTTTAAGTGCCGTCAAGTCATAGCGATGCCATGTGATAGAGTAGAACTGCCCCGTAGGGTTTTCTAGGCTGTAATCTTTACAGAAGCAGATCGCCAGGATCCGTCTCCCAAGGAGCAGCTGGGTGGGTTCGAACTGCCAACCTTTCAGTTAGTAATTGAGCACTTAAGTGTTGCACCATTAGTTCTGGACTATAAAGCATTGAGAATTCTTTGTTCTCATTCTTGATTCCTCTTCTCCAATCAAATGCCTATTCCTAGTGCAGGGATGGCCAGTGTGGTTGGAACCAGGACACAGGTTGTGGAAACCACGATCCATATTTAAACAACTAGAAAATTGTTAGAGTGAAAAATCAGCATACTTCTCCTTGCCATCTATACTGAAAAAATAGTCTTTACTATATTTTGAAGTGCAAAAAAAGTC